GCCAATATCAAATTAAATGGAGAGAAACTCAAAGCAATTCCACTAAAATCAGGGACAAGACAAGCCTGCCCACTCACACCATATCTCTTCAATATATTACTTGATATTCTAGCTAGAGCAATAAGCCAACTAAAGGAGATCTGGGGGATACAAATTGGAAAGGAAGAAGTTGAAGTTTTTCTCTTCACAGATGATATTATAGAATATATAAGTAACTCCCAAAGTTCAACTAGAAAACTCCTACAGCTGATAAACACCTTCAGCAAAGTGGCTGTATACAAATTAAATACAAAAAGTCAGTAGCTTTCCTCTATACAAATGATAAGTGGCTGAGAAAGAAATTAGGGAAACAACACCCTTCACAATAACCACAAATGATATAAACTATCTTGGTGTAACTCTAACCAAGCAAGTGAAAGACCTTTATGACAAGAGCTTCAAGTATCTGAAAGAAGAAACTAAAAATGGTAGAAGATGGAAAGATTCCCATGCTCATGGATCAGTAGGATTAACATCTTTCGAAAACAATCTATAGGTACAATGCAATTCCCATCAAAATACCAACACAATTCTTTACAGACCTTGAAAGAACAATTCTCACCTTTAAATGGAAAAATAAAAAACCCATATTAGCTAAAACAACCTTATACGATAAAAGATCTTCTGTAGGTATCTGCATTCCTGACTTCGAGCTATAAGACAGAGCAACTAAACACTACATGATACTGGCATGAAAACAGACTGGTTGATCAATAGAATTGAATAGAAGACCCAGAAATCCACACACCTGTGGATACTTGATTTTTGACAAAGAAGCCAGAAACCATACAATGGAAAAAAGAAAGCATTTTCAACAAATGGTGCTGGTCTAATTGGATGTCTACATGTAGAAATGCAAATGGATTCATATTTATCACCCTGTATAAAACTCAAGTCCAAGTGGATCAAAGACCTCAACATAAAACTATAAGCACTAAATCTATTAGAAGAAAAAATGAGAACCAGACTTGAACTCATTAGCACAGGAGATAACTTCCTAAACAAAACACCAACAGGTGAGGCTCTAAGATCAACAATTAATAAATGGAACCTTATGAAACTGAAAAAATTCTATAAGGCAAAGGACACTGTTAAGAGAAGAAAATGGCAGCCAACTGATTGGCAAATGATCTTTGGTAACCCTACATCTGATAAAGTTCTAATCCCCAAAATATATAAAGATCTCAAGTAATTAAATAACAACAAACCAAATAAACCAATTAAAAATGAGGTACAGAGCTAACAGAATTTTCAGTAGAGGAATCTCTAATGGCAGAAAAGCACTTCATTAGACTCTCAGCATCATTAGTCTTCAGGGAAAAGAAATTCAAGTCAAAACAACTTCAAGATTCCATCTTACATCTGTCAGAATGTGTAATATCAAAAATTCAAGTGACAGCACATGCTGGCAAGGATGTGGAAAAAAAGGAACCTTCCTCCATTGCTGGTGGGAGTGCAAAATTGTACAACCACTATGGAAATCAATCTAGCCCTTTCTCAAAAAATTGGAAATAGTACTACCTCAAGTCCCAGCTATACCTTTTCTGGGTATAAAAGACCCCAGAAGATGCTCCTCCATACCACAAAGACATTTGCTCAACTATGCTCATAGCAGCTTTATTAATAATAGCAAGAAACAGGAAACAACCCATATTTCCCTCACCTGCAGAATGGATAAAGAAACTGTGGTTCATTAACAGAATGGAATTCTACTATTAAAAACTAGAAAATTGTGAAATTTGCAGGCAAATGTACAGAACTAGAAAGGATCATCCTGGGTGAGGGAACCCAGACCCAGAAAGACACACATTATGTACTCACTTATAAGCAGATATTAGGTATATATTACATGATAATCATAGTACAATTCAGAGCTCCAAAGAAGCTAAGTAAAAAAAGAGGGCCCAAGGGAGGCCCTCTTTGAATTTCACTCAGGTGGGGAAATTGACAGTAGAAGGAGAAAGGGAACTGGATAGGAGAGTGTATGGGGAGGGAAGGAAGTGGAGGGGGATCAGATGTGGGGAGAGTTCAGAGGGTAGGTTAGAGGTCTTGGAGAGAAAAGGGAATCCAAGGGTGGGGGTATCACTGAGACAAGCTAAAGACGTATGACAGGGTAGGTTATAGGGAGGATATGGGGGTGTCTCTAGCTGAGCTTCTTAACAGCAGAGTATACAGAGGCTTAGGCCATCTTCTAGCCAGGCTGAAATTATGGTAATGGGAGGGGAACATCAATCTACCTACAAAACCTTCAGCCAAAAATTTACCCTGCCTACAAGATGTGCAGAGATAAAGACAGAGACTTTCAGAATGTCCTTCCAGTGTCTGGCCCAGTTTGAGAACCACTGTGCCATGAGAGAGAGCCAGCCCTCGACACCATTAACAATACTCTGTTAGTGTTTACGGACATATGCAAATATTTTCATCTGTCCATTTGTAACTGTTTAAGCATATATTCTCTTTTAGTAAGATCTTATTAATGTAACACTTTAAACTGGGAACCTCTGGTTCTTGGAAGATGAATACAGAACTGGAGTGGAAGTATACTTCATTTTAGGAATTTTATTAAAAACCTCTTAGTTCTTTTTTTTAAAAAGATTTATTTATTATTTATACAGCATACAGACTACATGTGTTCCTACATGCCAGAAGAAGGTGCCATATCAGACTATATATGGTTGTGAGCCACCATGTGGTTGCTGGGAATTGAACTCAGGACCTTTGGAGGAACAGCCAGTGTTCTTAATCTCTGAGCCATCTTTCCAGCCCACCTCTTAGTTCTTACTATATATATATTTTTTTGGTTTATTTTTGAAGTGGTGACAGGGTCTTAATGTGTACCTCTGGATGCTCTAGCACTCATTCCATAAAACAAGCTGGCATCTACCTCAATGAGATATTTCTGCCTGTCTCTAAGTGCAGGGGTTAAAGGCATGAGCCAATAGACTAGCTTGTGCATTGACTTTTGTAGTTAGTAAACTGTTATTACAATCTCTCTGATGTATGTGCAGTACTATTGATAAGTACTGTTTGCTTGTCTTTTTGTCTTTATGTTTGTTAATTATTTAAGAGTACAGATTCTGGCTATTACGAATAAAGCTGCTGTGAACATGGTTGAGCAAATGTCCTTGATATTTGGTATAGCTGGAGTGGTATAGCTGGATCTATTACTAATTGTCTGAGAAAGCACCGGATTGATTTCCAAAGTGGTTGGACAAGTTTACATTCCCAACAGTGGAGTAGGGTTCCTCTTTCTCCACATCCTCTCCAGCATGTATTGTCACTTGAGTTTTTGATCTTAGCCATTCTGATGGGTATAAGGTCAAATCTCAGGGTAGTTTTGATTTCCATCTCTCTGATGACTCAGGACATTGAGCATTTCTTTAACTGTTTCTCTGCCATTCTATATTTCTCTACAGAGAATTCTCGGTTTAGTTCTGTACCCCATTTTTTAATTGGATTACTTGATTTGTTGCTTTTTAACTTCTTGAGTTCTTTATATATTCTGGGTATTAACCCTCTGTCAGATATAGGGTTGGTGAAGATTCTTTCCCAGTCTGTAGGCTGTCTTTTTGTTCTGAGGACAGTGTCTTTGGCTTTACAGAACCTTTTCAGTTTCATGGGGTCCCATTTACTGATTGTTGCTCTTAGAGCCTGTGCTGATAGTGTTCTGTTCAGGAAGTTGTCTCCTATGCCAATAAGTTCAAGACTCTTCCCCACTTTTCTTTCTAACTGATTTAATGTGTGTTTTTTTATTTTGAGGTCTTTGATCCACTTGGACTTTAGTTTTGTGCAGGGTTATAAGTATGGATCTATTTGTATTTTTCTACATGTAGACATCCAGGAAACAACCCAAATGTCCCTCAACTGAGGAATGGATACAAAAAATGTGGTACATTTACACAATGGAATACTGCTCAGCAATTAAAAGCAAGGAAATCATGAAATTTGCAGATAAATGGTGGGGTCTAGAATGATCATCCTGAGTAAGGTATTCCAGAAGCAGAAAGACACATACGGTATATACTCACTTATAAGTGGATTCTAGACCTAAAAGATAGGATAAACATACTAAAATCTGTACACCTAAAGAAGCTAAGCAAGAAGGAGGACCCTGGGTAAAATTATCAATCCTCACTCAGAAAGACAAATGGGATGGTCATTGGAAGAAGGAGAAAACAGGAAACAGGACAGGAGCCTAACACAGAGGGCCTGAAAGACTCTACCCAGCAGTTTATCAAAGCAGATGCTGAGACTCCTAACCAAACTTTGGGCAGAGTGCAGGGAATCCTATGAAAGAAAGGGGAGATAGTGGGATCTGGAGAGGACAGCAGCTCGACAAGACGAGCAACAGAACCAAAAAAATCTGTGCCCAGTGGTCTTTTCTGAGACAGATACTCCAATCAAGGACCATATATGGGCATAATCTAGAACCCTTGCTCAGATGTAGCCCATGGCACTTCAGTCTCCAAGTGGGTTCCCCAGTAAGGGGAACAGGAACAGTCTCTGACATGAACTCTGTGGCTAGCTCTTTGATCACCTCCCCCTGAGGGTGAAGCAGCCTTGCCAGGCCACAGAGGAGGACAGTGCAGTCAGTCCAGATGAGACCTGATAAGCTAGTGTCAGATGGAAGGGGAGAAGGTCCATCCATATCAGTGGACTTGGAGAGGGTCATGGGAAGAGATGAGGGAGGGTGGGATTGGGAATGAATGAGGGGGCTACAGCTGGGATATAAAATGAATAAACTATAATTGATATAAAAATTAAAATTTAATAAAAAAAGGGCAGAAATGACTGAGGTGAACCTCATTACTAAGTTTTCTTCTGAAATGACTTGTTAATTATGGTTGAATCTCTGTGTGGGGGGTAACACCAGGATCATATGAATATATTGTCAATAAAGTTTCAAGTCCAATGTTGTCCTTGTCATTCATTTTGTTTTACACATGTTTGTGATAATTTAGGATGGCGTGACCTATGATGATGTGCATGTGAACTTCACTCAGGAAGAGTGGGCTTTGCTGGATCCTTCCCAGAAGAATCTCTACAAAGATGTGATGCTGGAGACCTACAGAAACCTCACTGCTATAGGTAAGACTGTGAATTTTCTTTAACCTTTTGAAATTAAGGGGTAACTTTATTTGTTATCGATGCTTTTCTGTAAAACTGTAGAAGGAGGAAAATGAAGTGAATTAATTTGGCATGGTTTTAAGGTTCACTGAAGATAGTAACTTAAATTTTGCATAATTTCCAGTAACTTTTTACTTTTCTGGTGCTGTATTTTAGGCTATAATTGGGAAGACCACAATATTGAAGAACACTGTCAAAGTTCTAGAAGACATCCAAGGTAATTTTGTGTGCAAACTGATACAAATAAGACTCTGAAGAATTTTTAAGGAACAACAACAGTGTAAACAAGCACATCTTTAAGTGTATTGATGATTATTAAATTCTCATAAAGCCATGTATCTCATTGTCAGGTATATGATTTATATTTGCAATGTATTACTTTAAGAAAGAAGATATGGAAGCAATGTGTTAACAGATATTACCATTTGAACCATAGCCCCATTAAAGTTACGCTGTAGAACTGCCAATCCCTGCAAACCTATACTACACAGATATTGGAAAAGGTGTACATACACACTGAATAGGTGCTAAGTATATGTCAGAAACCTTCTAATAAGTACATAGTCCATAGTAAAGCTGGTGTTACTCATATATTTGTAGTGATGTTGCTAAGTTTAGTGAAAGAGGCAGTTAATCAGAGGTAAGAAGGTTGTGGAGAAATCATAATCCCTATATCACATATCTATGAGGAACAAAAAGTCAAAATCTGTGAATTTTTGTGAATTTTCTGTGAATGCAGTATGGAAATCTTTTGTTATTCTTCCTTTCATATATATTATATCACAATAAGTAACAAGCCATGTATGAATGAGGGATATTGAAAGAAACAATTAAAAGATATGTAGTAGTCCACAGTTTCAGCAGGCTTTTGAATGTGATGTAAGTTTACAATTAATTGATTTTCCAACTTTATTGGGAATACATCAATAAGGTCACACTGGAGTAGGAATATGCAAATTATTTTTTTTCCTGGTTCACTTTGGAAATGTAGTATGACCCACACTAGAGGAAAACCTGTATATACAATCAATGTGGTAAAGCTCTGAGGGCTTTCAGTTCTCTTCAAATATATGAAACCCCTCATACAGGAAAAGGATACTGTAAGTGTGAGCCATGTAATCAATGCTCTTACCCTATCAGGTATCTTCAAAGATGAAAACCAACCCATAATGAAGGGGAATGCCATGAATGTAAACAACATGATAAAACTTAAGATCTGATTGCTCTTTACAATTAGACCAAATTGTAAAATTAATTCATACAGATAAAAAGATTCATCAGTATAATAAATGTGGTAAAGCTTTCACATGTGCCAATTATCTTCACAGGCATGAAAGACGTCATACTGAAAAGAAGGCCTCTGCATATACTCAACATGGTAGAGCCTTTGCATATCACATTCATTCTCAAAGGCATGAAACAATTCATACTGAAGAGAAACTATTTGAGGATACTCAATATGGTGAAGCATTTATACATCAAAGTGATCTCCAAATACATAAAAGGACACATACTGGACAGAAATCCCATAAATGTAATCAATGTGGTAAAGCCTTTGCATGTCACGGTCATCTTCAAAGGCATGAAAGAATTCATACTGGAGAGAAACCTTACAAATGTAATCAATGTGATAAAGCCTTTGCATGTCAGAGTTATCTCCTAATTCATAAAAGAACACATACTGGAGAGAAACCCTATAAATGTAATCAGTGTGGTAAAGCCTTTGCATGTCAGAGTGCTGTTCAAAGGCATGAAAGAATTCATACTGGAGAGAAACCTTATGAATGTAATCAATGTACAAAAGCTTTTTCATGTCACAGCAATCTTCAAAAGCATAAAAGAATTCATAGTGGAGAGAAACCCTACAAATGTAATCAATGTGGTAAAGCCTTTGCACGTCACAGTTATCTCCTAATTCATAAAAGAACACATACTGGAGAGAAACCCTATGAATGTAACCAATGTCAGAAAGCCTTTGCATGTAACAGTGATCTCCTAATACATAAAAGAACACATACTGGAGAGAAACCCTATAAATGCAACCAATGTGGTAAAGCCTTTGCATATCACTGTAGTATCCGAATACATAAAAGAACACATACCTGAGAAACTCTATGAATGTAACCAATGTGAGAAAGCCTTTGTATGTGACAGTGATCTCCTAATACATAAAAGAATACATACTGGAGTGAAACCCTATGAATGCAAACAATGTGGTAAAGCCTTTGCATATCACAGTAGTCTCTGATTACATAAAAGAACACATACTAGAGAGAAACCTTATAAAGCCTTTGTTTCTAGCTTTGAGTGAAAAAGCCAGAAAAGCCTTTGCTAAGTTTGGATTTATCAGTAGAGCCTGAGAAATTGTCTTGAGATTATTTGAGCCTTGAAGAAATGTCTTTCTGGAGAATTGGCACTTGATGCTACATGGGAGCTTGTAGCTGTACTGACCTTGGTCCTAAGATGCTCCTGGCAAACATGGAGTTCTTACTTTTGGGTTGACTGCTCTCACGGGCAGCAAGGAAAAGATAACTTTGGTAGTTGGAACTTTTCTAGTCCCAGTTAATCTTGAATATGTTTGAATAAAGTAACTGGAGATGTTTGGGTGTCTGTCATTTGCAAGAAGACTGAACCCTAATGTAACTTTGGATAATGAAAGCTTAGCATTTTGGTGAGCTTATCTCTCTACTGCAGCACCTATGAACAACATAAAACAATAATAAAGCCTTTTCACAGCACAGTAGGCTTCGAATACATAAAGGAACACATAGTGGAGAGAAACTATAAATATGATCAGTGTGATAAAGCCTTTGCTTATCACAGTCATCTTCAAAGGCACAAAAGAATTCATACTGTGAAGAAAGCCTATAATGGTACTAAATATGGTGAAGCCTGTGGAAGTCACAGTAGTATCCAAACACATAAAAGAACTCAAACTAGAAAGAAACCTTATGAATATAATCAAAGTTGTAAAACCTTTGCATATCATGGTTATCTTTGAATACATAAAACAAAACAAAACAAAGCCAACTCATACTGGAGAGAAACCTTATAAACATAATGTGATAAAACTTTTTCACAACATAGTCTCTAAATGCATAACAGAAGACATACTGAGTTCAAGGTTGGCAAGTAAAGTCAGTAGCCCACAGCTAGAAGGCAATGGAGCCCAAAATCTTCTTGACTGAGCCTCAATGTCATCTACTTTGCCCAGACTCCCTGGGCTCAGCCATAGTTGCTGGGCTTCTGCTCTTCTTATGCCCCTGGCATGAGGACCTTGGACTTCTCAGTGTTCTGTCAGCAGAGCCATGGAAATGAAGGCACCATCCATGTCTTAGGATCTCTGCTCCCTATGGCTACGTCATAGCCAGTGAACTGGTTTGAAAAAAAATAGGCCTTTAGATCAGCAATGCTCTAGTCTTTTCCCAGGAAGAAGGAAAAAATGGCCAGAGTAGAGGAAGAGCTAGTAGTCAATAGCTTATGTCCTTCTGTTTATCTTTTTTTTTTTCCAAGAAAGGGTTTTTCTGGAATCTCAAAGATAGAATCAGTTAAATACTTCTTTCTTTTTTTAAGTTAATTGATACATGGTCACCACTGTTTCTGAGATTTCAGAGACACATCCAACACACCATAGAAAAAAATAATGCAACATATGTTTTGAACTGGTACCAAAAGCTGTATGTTTTCTGTAGGGTCTGGGGAACGTTCCTAATAAATACTTTTCAATTAGTACCCACTGCTACATACAGATGACAAAACATTTTCTACTCTCACATCTCACTGGGAGTGACAATGTTTGTTTCTTGTAGAACTAATCAAATGAATCTCCACTGTGACACAGGACATGTCTTATTTAATACAATGATGCATTTTGCTTTGTCCCAGAAGAACAATACAGTGGTGGACCAAGAATTGTAATATGTAATACACTGTATATAAGAGTCTATCATTTGCGATTTTGTGGAAGGCTGGAAACTGCTTCATGAAGAGAGAAGCCTGGACAGCTTGCAACCACCTTCATTAAGAATAGTTTAACCGGTCAGATGAAAGGGGAGGAGGTCCTCCCCAATCAGTGGACTTGGAAAGGGGCAGGGAGGAGATGAGGGAGCGAGGATGGGATTGTAAGGGAATGAGGGAACGGGATACAGCTGGGATAGAGAGTTAATAAAATTTAACTAATAATAAAAAAATTAAATAAAAAAAAAACAGTTTAGCCATTGTTTCTTTGAAATGCACTCACTAGATCCACAAGTCAAGCCATTCTATGAACCCCATGTTAAAAAAGAGATAAAGGGCAATTACCCCAAATAGTAGGCCTTCAGCCAGAGAGTAGTTAATACAAACTTTAGATGCAGTAGACTGCGACTCTGAGGATCCGAAATTCAGTGTGAAATGCACCTAGGTGTCCCAGAGGGATATTTGAAGCAGAACGGCCAGTTTGTATAGCAATACACCTGACTACATAGAAGCACTGAAGGCTGATAGAGTTCTAGACGCAAGATGCTGAAGTAAAAAGGAAGTTTCTAAGCAGCACATGGTGATGCATGCCTTTAATCTTAGCACATAGTGATGGAGAAGCTGGTATATCTTTGTGAGTTTGGAGACAGCCTGGTTTATAAATTGAGTCCAGGACAGCCATGGCACACAAGGAACCCTGTCTGGAAAAAAACAAACAAATGGTACCCAGAAGCACTGTGTCATTGTGTCTTCCTCCATTTTCAATATAGAAAATTATCTTTTTAAATCTCAAAACTTTTCCCTAAGGACTTTACTTTCTTAGACCCAGCTTCTCTTCTAGACCTTACCAGTTTAGATTCTTGAGGCTTCCCTGTCTGTCTCTGGCTCCTGCTTCAGGGAAACATTTTTTTCTTCCTCCTTCACTGGATCCTGACCCCTTCCTCGCTCTGAGAAGTTATTGGGTCCACAAATGTTTGCTCCTTATACTGGTAAAAACCCTTTCTCAAAGGAATTTTGCTTTCTGCCTTTGCTAGCAAACTCTGGCTTTGAGAAAGCGACTTTCTTTTTAACCTAAAAATACTCCCTCTCGGGATTTGTATATATCAATTTTTGTTTTGTGGGCCTTGCTGTTCTTCAGGGTGTCTGTCTAATCAGGAATCTGTGAGCTCCTAGTTTAGGAACTGTGGTTGCTTTGTTTTTAAGGAACAGAACTAAAACTACTGCTCTATAGTTATACTTTCTAGGTAAGTTCTTGCTAGATTACTGTAAATTCTGCCACACTTTGGTATGCCATTTGTTGTTGATTATTAATATTTAATATTGATTTATGTTTTAGTTAAACAGCAGTTATTTCTAAACCAGCTGTATATCCAAATCACCACACAGAGTCTAGGATGTATTTAGTTAACCTAGAGCACAATTCTGGGCAATAATTACTACATCATAAACCTCCAAGCCTGCATAGTTTCCTCCCGTTCAGATTTCCCCATTATACTTGGTTTTAGTCATATCTTAGGTCCAGTTCATCTCTCCTCATGGTTCGAAACCTGCTGATATCCACTCTCCTATCCTCCCACATGCTTCCTTCTCCTCCCATCTGAACCAGGATGTCCCACCCTAGTCTCTCCATTGCTCAGTCCTGGCTGGATGTTTAATTGACAATACAGAGAATGAATGGTGGCATGTTTATACAAACTTGAGACAGGTGATGCTTAAAACAAACATCACAATGCAATGTCCAGATTGAAAAAAAAAAATAGTGGAGTAGAGAAATCAGCATTTAAATGAACAAGGGTAACTTGTGTATATTCCACATGAAAATTATACCAACAAACAGTAACTGGTCACCCAACTGTATTTCCTCTCGTTTTTTATTTATTTACTCTAAGGCTCTGAAAAGTCACCTTTAGGCTAAAACATCTGTGAAAAACAGCCTGTATGAGGAAACACTGGGTAATGTTACAGGGGCAACATGAGTATCCTCAACTACAGCATATTTGCTTTTGCAAACACTGTAATGTATGAAATAAAATATTAATAGCCATTACCTTGGTTTCTCTGACAACAGACCTGAGTCACAACTCTGTGTGGCATGATTTCCACTCATGTGCCTCACGTTATGAGGCCCTGGAAGCCTCAGAGCAGCCAAGCCCAGGCAGACTGTGTTTCTAGACCAGAATGTCAGGCCATAAGCTGATTATTTTGGCAACTTAAATCATTGCTCCAAATTTACCGCCTACTCTGCATTGAAAACTAATTCCTAAAAATATATTGGGAGAAATGGTGAAAATATTTTAAATGCACAAAGGAAAAGGTTAGAGTAAGTTTAATATCTCCACTTAACAGCAGCTAAGTTTGTGATCCCTCAGCTGAAGTCTAACATTTGAAAGCACCCAAAGAGCCAAATATTTGTGTAAATACATGTATTTCCAATGCCTCAAATATAGATGCTGCAACTAGATTTTTAAACTTTGTGTGGCTAACAAGCTTAGCTTTTTGGGCACTTCCAGCAGCACTGGCTTTCCTTGCCTGCCTCTGTTGGCCTCTGTATTCTCAGAAAGCTTTGAACTCTCGATGGCCTCAAAGCCATTGGACTATTTTGTATGTGGATAATTTTGTAGCTGAGATAAATGAAAGAATCAGAGTTAAGTGCCCAGTGCAGAGCTTGGGAGCATAGTGTCTTCTTTTCCCCACACTTTACTTTCTCTTAGGTTGGTAACTGCCTTCAAATCAGTGTTCAGCATTAATCCCTCAGGTCCCCTGTAAGGTAGTGTGAAGAGGTCATTCCATACTTACTGGCCAGAGGCCTAGAGGGGAGCATGATAACTTCACCCAACAGAATGCAGTTCTGGGGTAGCTGGAGACTAGCCCAAATCTCTGTGCCACAGCTCAGTATTGGAGCCCCAGGCTAAACAGCTTCTTTCAGTGGTCAGCCACACTACGGTTTGTCTTCTAAATACATGTAATAAAATTCAGGGTGGGTATAGAGGCAGTAGTGGACTATAACCCACCCACAGGCAAATGATGTCAAAGACTCCAGAAGGGAACACTGAGCTTCTCTGTTCTTCTGAAATTCCTGCTTTGTCAAGCAACTTGAGAAGGAAACCAACTTTCCATTAAGAAATCTCTACTTTGACAGTCATATGAGACAGCCCGGTGTTGTACACTTCTCCTTGCAGGAAAAAAATACAATTATTTTCACAAATTAAAATGGAAGACACTCAAAGTTCAAAGACTCAGAGCTGAAAAGGAACTTGGGGATCCAAATCTGAGGCTCAGAACAGACTGAGGCAAATCCTTCCTATAGATTTCCCAGGTGCCAACCTTTTCTCTAGAAAATTAACTACTTGTCTCTTGGATGGTGGCTCAGGAAACAGTGCCCAGTTCCTAGTCTGCAGAGGGAGGGGTGGCATCTACAGAATGGCTACTTTGCTTGTGAGGTAGTTCAGGTCATGCTGGAGTGGTGTGACCATGTGTGTATTTGTGTGTATGTTTCCATACATGTGTAAATAAGTACTTGTGTGTGCATGTATACAATGTTGTGTCTACATGTGTGTATGTGTACATGTTTGTGTGTACATGTGCTTGTCTGTGTATATGTACATGTATAAGCTATGAAAAACTAGGCGTGCCTTGTTTCTTCCACAGAAAACAACCTGAATATTTGAATAGCTTTTTCTTGCTGGAGTCTGAGGCTGAACAACAAACAGTATCTCTATCTGTGCCAGGGCCAATCACAAGATCTGACAGTTATTTTTCTCTTCTTTCAAAGGACCCAGAGGGACACCCATGAAACAAACATCAGAGAGGAGTGCTGTCTGTAAAACACAAACACACACACACACACACACACACACACACACACACAAATACACATGGTCACATAGTCACATACCTTATTTTGGGTAGATAATGGTTCTGTGATGTCACATATAAAGCTGCCTGTATTTTTCTTAGGAGATTTTCCAATGGCAAGAAGGGTAACCCTTCAATTAATAAAGTCAACAGTGATGTCCTTTCAATTTCTAAAGGCCCTCTTTTCCCATCTATTCTCTTTATATCATCAATAGCTTTGTGAGAGCTGTAGTCAATTTCTCCTTTAGATTAAAAAAAAATGAGATTTAGAAAGTAGAAAGGACTAGACTTGGTTACAGTATGCTATCAGCTGATGGATGGCCATTTCTTTCTTCTAATACCACAGGCAGTACACAGAAGGAGCCCATCTCTGCCTTAGTTCACAAGCTGATTGTATTCTGGAATGTGTATTCTGGGTCAAAGTCAGAGTGGTACAATTAGGGAAAGGGGTAGACAGTGATAATGAACCATTCGTTCTTTCTAGAAATATTTACTGGTAGCACCCCGTCAGGCCTACATCAGGGACACAGGCTACAGAACAAAGAGAAGGGACATGGATTCTGGTCTGGAAATTACAGTCAAGGAGAAGAGATGCTCAATAGAAAAGTTCCTTATTTATTAAGTGACCCACCTTCTTATCTTAGTTCCTAGATTCTTACAGTGCAAACTCCAGGGTGCCTTTGGCTTTAACTCCCATTAGCATTCTCTTCTGCTCCCTTCTGACCTCAGCTGCACCTGTACCACTTCCCTCTCCCTGCCAACATGACAAGGGTGATGGATGGATCCTCTCTGTGTCTGACTGTTGTAGTCTAAGTGTTGGCAGGATGGTTGGTATTATCTGATTTCTGATAGATCCATTGTTTATAGCTTTCTGTCATGGTTCTTACTAGAAATCCTTTGTGTGTGTGTGTACATGTGTTTCTAGAATATGTTTTATGCATGGTTTAATACAGTTAGACCATAAATGTGATGTGAGAAACTTTCTGAGAAGGGCTCAATGACATGCAAAGGGAAAGGACGTGTGAATTGTCTGTCCTTTCAAATCTAACTACAGGAATGACAGAATAGGAATTTTCACTGTTTTGATTAAATCTAAACTTTTACTTTTCCTCTTCTGTATGCAGTTTCTAGTTTCATGTCCCACATGCAGGCCACTCCAACTGCCCTCCTGGAGATATTGAGAGGTGCGATAGTCATTTAGGCAATTCCCACACAACTGAATTTATAGTGTTTTGAAATCACTTCTCTTACATTATATATACACACAGCACAAAGAAACCCAAAGTTTTAACTTACTAAAAAAAATCATCATTGCCCCCCATTTGTACAGAGATGACTACAATGAGAAATAAAAGGAGAAATGAAAATGGTACAAAAGTATGCATAGCAGCAGAGAGAATTTTCATGATTTGCTTTATTCTGCAGTAACATAAGCTACCACCTGTTATCATGTCCATCCAGAATATAACTGTTGTGCTTTTGTGCAATAGACAAAGATGCTTTTTTATCAATTCTTAGAAGTCTGGAGGACACACCATTCATGCTGTCAACTCCCCCAGATCCTTTCAACAAATAATCCCAACAGGGACAAATGTCAACATATTAATTTATTAAATTAAAAACAAAAGCAGCATTTGGGCAAGGCACTTCCCTTCATTTTCTATCAGCACTCCAATTCTTGCTGAGTTTATAGCAACCCAGAGATCATGGAATACTACAGGCATGTATTATGGTGACCAAATTGGGATAGTATCTCCCTGCAGTCACACTAGCCAGGAAGTTGACAGACATGCTGATCCTAACTTCCAACTTTGTCCAAAGTTCTAGAAACTCTACAACATCCAAGTTCTTAGTAACAGAGCTCACATGAATAAGAAAATAAACCAGAGATATAAAAAATTTAGATTCCCTTTTCCGCCCATTCCCCCCACCCCCGAGCACCGCTCCGGCTGCACCACGCTCGCTCCGCGCTGTCAGTCTCGTGCCACCATCCCCAGCCGCCACCATGATCATCTACCGGGACCTCATCAGCCATGACGAGCTTTTCTCCAATATCTAAAAGATCCGGGAGATCGCGGATGGGCTGTGCCTGGAGGTGGAGGGCAAGATGGTCAGGAGGACAGAGGGTAACATCGATGACTCGCTCATTGGTGGAAATGCTTCCGCTGAAGGCCCGGAGGGTGAAGGTACCGAAAGCACAGTAGTCACCGGTGTTGATATTGTCATGAACCATCACTTACAAGAAACCAGCTTCACAAAAGAGACCTACAAAAAGTACATCAAAGATTACATGAAATCACTCAAAGGCAAACTTGAAGAACAGAAACTAAAAAGAGTAAAGCCTTTTATGGCTGGGGCTGCAGAGCAAATTAAGCACATCCTTGCCAACTTCAATAACCAGTTTTTTATTGGTGAAAACATGAATCTAGATGGTTTGGTTGCTCTCCTGGGCTACCGTGAAGATGGTGTGACTCTACTTATGATTTTCTTTAAGGATGGCTCAGAGATGGAAAATGTTAACAAATTGGACCTGTCACCGTAACTGGCTGCTGCTTATCATCCATTCAACACCAGGACTTAAGACAAATGGGATTGATGTCATCTTGAGCTTTTATTTTTTGACCATGATTTATTTAGAGTGGAAGCATTGTTTTTGTAAGAAAAAACATGTCATGTGGGTTGTCTAAAAATAAAGTGCATTTAAATTAAAAAAAAATTAAATTCCTTGAAAGGACACTAGAGCTTAACCCAGTTTAATCCCAACCACATCAAACTGGTTTGTGGGTGTGTATGTATGTGTGTATGTATGCATGTATGTATGTTTGGGGCAGGCTAAGAAAACATTTTACCTCTGGGCTACATCCCCTAAATATAAAACATAATTTGGCGTTCGGGGGTAGTATTTCATGCACTCTAGGCTGGCCTCAAACTCATTATGTAGCTGAGGCTAACCTTTAATTTTTGATCTTCCTCCCTCTATCTCTTGAGTGCTAGAAGATGTATGCCACCATGACAGGCCAAATATAATTCTTAAAGTTATGAAATACACAAAAAATTTTACCTTCAAAAAAGCACAGCTTCCATACAATCTGCCTGTGCTGTGTTGGTTTGGTTTGCTTTTTTTTAAACGATTACAAGGTCCAGTGAGATGACTCACTGGGTAAAGGAACTCACTCAGCAATTTTGGCTCTGGAACACATAAAGGTAGAAGGACAACCAACTCCACAGACCTGTCCGCTGACCTCCACACATACTTGCTTCCCCAGTAATAATAGTTACACTATTTTTTAATTAAAAAGAAAACTGTTTCAAATGATGTCCAGGACCCTAGAAGACACATATCACAATTACTGAAGAACTAGTGGGTCTGATAGGGGCTCACTCTAGGTATATAACCTCAAGAAAGGGTCTTAACCTCTTGGGGTCTGTTTCCTTCTCTGAAATGAAAATTACAAGCACTTGGCAGGAAGCCGGGAATGTCTCAAGACTCAGTACCACACAAGACTCTCCCATACCATGGGTCCATGTGTACCTTGCTAAGACTTCTGTCAGTCATATGCCTATTTCACCTTCTTTCTGTTAGAGAAACTAATTTAGCTGGGATTGTGGACATTGAACTGGAGGTACAGCAAAGAGAAGTGTTTTGAACAAAGAGAAGGCAAACAGGTCTAGATATTTTTAAAGTTTATCTGCTTGGGTTGCAACGTATCTTGATCTTAGCCAATTGCCATAAATGGGTAGTAGAAGTACACATGGGTCTGCACATCCTTCAGATGCTGTTCTCCCCATGGCTTTCTGTGGGCAAGCGTTGTTTGTGTGTGAAAATCTCATTTCTTACCTGTCTTTTAGACACAGAACCTTCTTGTGTCTTTAGTCCTGGATGAAGGCATTTTGGGAGAGGATAACCAGCCACTGTGCTTTACCTTGTTACCACCTGTATCAGAAGAAAATAAGATGTAGACATCTTAGATAAAACCCCTGCAGAGCAGCAAGGCCTCCAGCAGGCTGCATAAAAACAAAAATTGATACATACAAACCCTAGAAAGGCAGTTTCTTTAGGTAGAAAAAGAAAGCACATGAACTCAGTGGCGGGCTTTTTGATTACCTCACCCTGAGGGAGGAGCAGCCTGACCAGGCCACAGAGGAAGACTATGAAAGACAGTACTGATGAGATCAGATGAAAGGAGAGAAGGTCCTCCTCTATCAGTGGACTGGGGAAGGGGCATAGGAGGAGATGAGAGAGGGAGGGAAGGTGGGATTGAGAGGAAATGAGGGTGAGCTACAGCTGGGATACAAAGTGAATAAACTGTAAAAAATAAAAAATTATATTAAAAAAAGATGAAAAAGAAATTAGCCAAAATAAAGCACATAGAGAAGAGCCTTAAAAACTAACAAATAAAAACAAAAAAAAAAAAAAAAGGAAACTTCTCAAAGCCAGTCTTTGCTAGCTATGGCAGAAAGCAAAATTCCTTTGAGAAGGGGTTCTTGCCAGTCTGAGGAGTAAACATTTGTGGACCCAATAACTTCACAGAGTGAGGAAAGGGTCAGGATCCAGTGAGGGAGGCAGAAAAAAATATTTTTCCCTGGAAGCAGGAGCCAGAGACAGAGAAGCCTCAAGAATCTGAACTGGTAAGGTCTAGAAAAAAAGCTGGTAGGCTGTTTAAACTGCTTTCTCAGGACAAAAGCTAACATAAAGGAAAAAGGCCAGTTTAATAGGTCCAAACTAAGTGCTTTTCCAAGTCAGACAAGCAATCAACCGATTGGGGGAGGAGTAGGGATCTGGTAAAATAATTCTAAGTTACAGGTCAGAGGCAAAACCATGTCTGTTTTTTTATGAGTGAATAAACAGGAGCGTTGTGAAAGTCAGCACAGCACAGCACAAAAGAACACATACTGGGAACATAACTTATGAGCAGGTAAATTGTTTAATAATCACACTTTTAGGCTATATACAAATTTTAAGTAAACAAAGTGGACAGGATGGGAGAGACAATTAAAAAAGCTTCTTGGAACTTGGCTGATAATCTCTTCTATGGTTTAAAGACAGAAATAAAGGAACATTGTAAAATATGACTATGGTTACATTCATAGTCTTCAATGTAAGTTTAATCATTAGATTAGCCTTTTATGTCTTTTCAAAGGTAAAGGCTTTAGAAAAGATATTGGAACAACACAAAGGGTAAGTAGAACAATGTAAAGAAGAAAATGAAGGTTGGAAACAGGCCATAAAACAAGACATTCAAGAGATTATTGAACAAAACAAACAATAGAGAGATAGGTGTGAAATATGGGTACAGACCTTAAGAGAACAGCTTAGAATTCCAAGTAAAGAAAATACCCAGAAGCCCCTCCCTCCTCCCCTCCCGATCCCACCCTCCCTCCCCTTTCTGCATGCATGCCACTCCCCAAGTCCACTGATAGGGGAGGTTCTCCTGGGGGGATACAAAATGAATAAAGTGTAATTAATAAAAAATTAAAAAAAAACTGAAAAAAAAAAAAGAAAATACCCAGGCAGAGGCAAAAGAAAAAAATAAAGAAAGCCAACCAAAGGTGGTTAGAAAAATAAACGTTAGCTTATCCAGTCAGTATACAACAGACCAGCAGATGATAATCATCCACAGAATTATCATGAAGCTGAAGTGTTAGATCTGAGGAAATTTATGGAAAGTGTCACTAATTTTGGAATGCATTCACCATTTGTAAAACAAATGCCAACTTCCTGGGCAAGCAGAAGTAGAGTAATCCTAAAAGACTGGGAGGATATGGCAAAGGCAATATTAGAACCTGGGCCATATTTACAATGGCTTTCATGGTAGAGAGAAGAGGTTGGAGAGATATTACACAAAAATAGAACTTGAGGTGTTGGTGTTTCTAAGGAAAAGCTGCTTGGTGATGGCCAATATGCTGACACAGTGATACAACCTGTATATAATGAAGAAAACTTAGGATTATGTTGCCTAGCAGCCTTAAATGCCTGGTACAAATCTGAGGAATCAGGAAAAAGGCTTGAGCCATTCTCTCACGTCATACAAGGTCCAAGTGAAACATTTACTAACTTTTTACAAATATTGACCTCAGCTGTGGATAAAAGTATATCAGATCCACTAGCTTGAAAGGCACTAATAGAATCTTTAGCTTTTGAAAATGCTAATACTGAGTGCAAAGAGGCAATAAGGCCATCAAGAGCAAAATCTTCACCAATAGATGAATGGATTAGAAATATGGTTGACATCAGACCTCACTCACCCGGCATGACCTTGATAGGAGAAACTACCCCTAAAGACCTTGGGAAATGTCTTACTTGTGATGGGCAATGTTGCTACAGAGGGAGTTACAAGGAAAACCAAAATAATTTAAAAAGAAGCCTGTGCTTCCTAGAATATGCAGATGATGTGGCAAGGGTCAACGTTGGCTTAGTGAATGTAGAACAGTCACAGATAAATGGGGTAATCCTTTTTCAAAAAATGCCACAGGGAGCCTCTTATGGGCCACAATACAGGACAGAGATACTCTTCCACAAAAAAATTAAACAGCACTGCTCTGGGAATAAACATTAAAAAATTAGACAGTGAGACCAGAACATGTTCTATAGATAAATAAAAAACAAAACAAAACAAAACAAAAAAACAGGAAGGGAACAAAAAACAAATATATCAACAAACCTCTATAAATGATCAAAAGCCAAAGTTAAAGATAATTTTAAATTATATTGAAATTGAAGGCATGGTGGATACTGGGGCTAATGTCACACTTATTACTCCTAAGTCCTGGCCCCCAGATTGGCCACTTCAAGAGGTGGATATCCAATTACAAAGAGTTGGAACTTTATCTAAAGTAAAACAAAGTGTCAGATGGCTTAAATGTACAGGACCAGAAGGTCAAATAGGAAAATTAAGGCCATATGTGACTGAGATAACCATAAACTTATGGGGAAGAGATCTGTTACAAGAATGGAAAATCCAGACTAACATCCCCCCAATTTCAAAGGCAAGCCAAAAAACAGGTAATACTTCTGATAAAGATGTTAAAATTATTTAAAAAATGCCATCAAAAACAGTTATAGACTGTCCAGGCTGTCCATAAACCAAAACAGCAAAGGCCCTCTTTTCAACTTTGTGTTGGGAAGCCACTGCTAATAAAACCCCTACAGCCTTACCACTAATGTGGTTGGCTGACCAACATATTTGGATTGAACAATTGTAAAGAAAATTACTGGCACTAGAACAGCTACTTTTAGAACAGCTAGAGGCTCAACTTATAGAGGAGACCAAAGCCCTTGGAATTCTCCTGTATTTGTCATCAAAAAGTAATCTCGCAAATGAAGGATGTTAACAGATCTCAGAGCAATTAACAAAATTATTCAGTCAATGGGATCGTTATGATCCAGAATCCCACTGCCTTCCTTGTTACCTAAGGAATGCCTTTTAATAGTGATTGATTTAAAGGATTGGCTTTTCACAATTCCTTTACCTGAAAATGATAGGAAAAATTTGCTTTCTCAGTACCTACTTTGAATAGAAGCTGTCCAATAAAGAGATATCACTGGAGGGTCTTACCACAGGGATGTTAAAGCGTTCAAAAATCAGAATTATATACAATTCTCTTGATGATATCAGATTTTCAAGAATCTCTTAATATAACCACTGACTCTTAAAATGCAGAAAGAGTTGTTCTGCATTTAGAAACTGCTGATCTAATTCAGGA